TATAAAGTCATTATGTTTTTATAATCTATAGATTGACCTAAATTGTAACTAAAAATAAAATTTTAGAAAGAACTATCATTGAAATTTTGGTATATAATTTTGTATATAAATATGCATGAAAAATGTCACTTTTAAATTAAATTTTGAATTGTATTTTTTTCTTTGTGAAATTTTTATACGTTATGTTTGAACAAAATTGTTTTATTACATTTTTATTTTTGTTATGAAATACAATAACTTGAAGTTCAAATAGATTTGAACTCAATTACCTCAATTAAAGATACCTTTTATACTTCCATTGTTATCTTTCAATGCTTTTTTAATAATATACTTTTTGCCTCTATAAATAACAATGAAATCGAGGGTTAGGAGGAGAATATCTATTTTTAATAGAGATACATGAGGTGTTTGGTAAATATCTGTTAGCAGATTGGATTAGTAGATTTGACTAGTTGATAGCATTAACCTATTGTAGAAAAGTGTTTGGTAAATTAGTTGTTAGCTGATAGCTGATTACATGCAAAAATAAATTTCTCAAAAAGCTAATCGAAAAAGTTATTTTGAGCAATTTTTTAAATTTTAGCATTTTTGAGCACTAAATTGTTACAAAAGCTAATTAATCAAAAACTCATATTGATTATTTAACCAAATCAAACAACTAATTATCATGAAATAAGTTAAAATTAATTAATAGGTTAACTATTTTATCAGGCTACAATGGTATGAAACCGGGATATTCTTACCATGCCCACTTTTTGGTACATCTTTAGAAATTAGAAATATAGAATTAAATGGAAAAAGTGATTGGGAAGACAACGACACGGAGAACAATTAATTTTAAAAAATTAATGATATGTCAAAAATGATAGATAGAGATATCAGTAGGGATGTTAGTGAGCAAAGTTTTTAGTAAATTACTTGTATTTGTGTTTAGTTATATTCATTTATTAAGGTAAATAAACATAAATGAATAAATGTTAGAGCTCGTTTAATAAATGAACAGAGTATGAACGTTAGTGGAATTATTTGATAAGAGCTTATGAACAAGCTAGCTTGTTAGTTTTGATTTAATAATATTTATGAACATGCTCGTTTAATAATTAATGTTTACAAATATACTCGTTTAGTGTTTTGTTTAATAATATTTACAACCATTCTCGTTTAGTGTCTGTTATTTAAGATTGTTAATGAACAAACTCATTTAAATACGATTTATTTTTATTTAGTTTTAATATAATATACTAATATACTACTTTATTTTAATATAGACTATTTCTGATTTATGAATAAATTATGATCATAAACATGAACATATGTTTGTTTATTTAAATTAAATTAAAGTTTGTGAGGCATGTGTCCAATGAGACTGCTACTCATACAATGGCTATGAGTGTTAATCTTCGTTATTTTGAGGAATACTCCACCAAGTTGTATTCGTGGTTTTTTCTCCAATTAATGAATTTTGTCTCTTTTAAAAAAAAAAAAAAATTAAGTGGTTCTACCATTTAGCTACATTGTTTGACTGCTATGTTTGTTTAAAATTAAGTGGTTCAACCAAACAGTCAGAAAATAATAGAAAATGACAGCTAAAAATAAAGAAAGACCAACATAGGCCAAACTGCCAAACAATGAAATATTTTAATAAAAAGTTTTGCTCTGTGGCTTGATCCAATTTTGACGTTAAACACATCAATTTTACCATAAATAATTTATTGTTCTATACAAACATTTCCCCAACACATGTAATGTGATACAACCAGCACTAGACAGACATCTACGTAAGTGATTCCGTCATAAGATCATACACTTGGGCAAGACAAAAGGCCAAATACAAGAAAGGTACCTTTTACTACTTCCAAGTTCCAATGTAGTATTGAGGAGTAATATTAGATTATTAGACATAGTCTTACTTTCTACTTTAATTTTTATTCTCTGTTGTTTATCTGGCCCATTATGAATCATTCAAGAAAATATGGGCCACATTTTCTTGATTTGAGCGAGCACGAATTTAATTCAATGGTTTAGTAGACAGTATTTAGAACATCTCATTAGAGGAGAAATGGGGCAGAATTTATTACTTTTGAGATCAAAATGTCATGGTGGCAGAGAGAGAATCAAGAGAGAGAAGGGGTGGGGAGCATCTGCAAATGTTGGGATATTCTTCTGCCCAAGAAAAAGAATTAATGATGGAGGAGAGAGAACCAATAGAGAAATGACATGCTTATTTTTTATATTTTTTTTATAAAATCAGTTTTGATTTTTTTTCCCTCCCCTCCCACATTATTCTCTTTCCTACTCACTCTTACATTCTCCCCCTAATATCTCCAACTGATAAGGATGCTATTAAAAAAAGATATCAAGATTTAAACATCTACGATAGTAGTGTGGAACAGATCCCTTATGCGCACCAACATTTGGCCCTACTAGCCATTGTGTCACTGTGATTTACATTTTTTTAAATATTCTGTCGGGTGGGATATGGCGCCTTTAGCGTTGGAAATTCAACATTTTGGGAGAAGCTTAATAGTTGTGATTTTTACTTAATTTTTGTCCGTCTAGAGAAGAGAAGATGAAAAAAAAAAGAAAAAATAAAACAACACAAGCTTTAAAAAACACGGAATCAGACGCCGTGGGCAATTTATATCCTACACCACGGCGTGCGTTGCACTATGCGCCCAGATGCAAAACGACGTCGTTTTAATTATTTTTTTTTTTTTTTGAAATTTCCTTCCCCAGTGAATGGCAGTAGTTTTTTCTTTAAAAAAAAAAAAAACCCGTTGTTCAAGAAGGTACATAATGTTATACTAGAATGTACATAATTATATAACAAAATATACATACTCTTTTTAAAAGATAATACACATAATCTAACATAATACATAATAAACATAAACTTATAATACACATCAACTCTTAACATAATACACACAAATTTTCTGATTCGGATGTACATAATTGTATAAAAAGAATGTACATAATTGTATAAAAAATACACATAACTGTATGAACCAATACACATAACGTTGTGAACAAATACACATAACGTTGTGAACAGATACACATAATCTCAGCAACTTTCTACCGCGCCTCCCAACACTACCCCAAAACGACGTCGTTTTGAGAGGCGCGCGGCGCACAATACTATGTGCGCCGTGGTGTAGGATATAACGATTGGACGCCGCGCAGGGTGCGTGCATTTGTTGGGCCACAAGAATGCACAAGTGGATTTGTGCGTATTTGTTTCCATTAAATGGGGTACACAAAAAAATTATATTTACATAATAAAAATCATGATAAAACCTCTAATCTCCTCACATTTGTTAAAAACCCAACCCAAATTTTTTAACTCTGCAAAATTAATAGGAATGCTCTAATCCTTTCTTTTCTTCTTTTTTCAATAAAATTAATACACATAACAAAAATTTTACTTCCTTGAAATCTAGTTATCATTTTTCTCACGTGAGCCACACATTGGCCAACATTCCGTTCCAACTTGAAACATCTTGCAGAACATGACTATCATTTCAAAATAAATAAGTATATAAAATATAATACGACGAAAAAATAATTTAAAATTTTGAAGATAATACGATGAAATCAGGACCAATAATGTAAATGTTGCTCAGAATATAATAACTAGTAATAAGATTAACAAAATCACTATTATTTAATGTGTGTGTATATATATATATATATATATATATATATATATATATATATATATATATATAGGTTCTGGTGCGGGTGGCAGCTCCAGATGCGGTTGTACGGGGAGAGGAGAGCCATTGATTTTGTTTAAATCAACGTTCAGGATTACCAAAATTTAAAAAAAAAACGTTGTGGCAATTTAATAATTTTTGCAACTAGGTCAAATTCAAGGTGCGTGAATTTTGTGCTTAAGGTGCGAGAGTTTTGTGCTTAAGGTGCGTAGGTTTTGTGCTTATGGTGCGTGGGTTTTGTGCTTAAGGTGCGTCATGTTTCTTCTTCTCGCACCATTCTTTATGAGTCACGGGTAGTTCAGACCCTCAAGAAGAACAAAACTTTTGAAATGAGGGGTGGTTCAGACCCTCAAGAAGAACAAAACTTTTGAAATGAGGGGTGGTTCAGACCCTCAAGAAGAACAAATTTTTTAATTGAGGGGTGGTTCAGACCCTCAAGAAGAACAAAACTTTTGAACTTAGGGGTGGTTCAGACCCTCAAGAACAAAACTTTTGAATAAAATTTTTGAACAAAACTTAATGGTCGTCATTTTAACACTTAAGGTGCGTTATTATAACAATTAAAGGTGCATTGTTCTAATACTTAAGGTGCATCATGTTTCTTCTTCGCGTACCATTCTCTGTGTCAGAGGTAATTCAGACCCTCAAAAAGAACAAAACTTTTGAACTGAGGGGTGGTTCAGACCCTCAAGAAGAACAAAACTTTTGAAGTGAGGGGTGGTTCAACCCTCAAGAACAAATGTAATACTTATATCAAAAAATGTAATACGTACTAAATCAGGAATAAAACGTTTATTACTTATATCGAAAAATGCAATACTTTTACATTTTGATATATAAATATTGTATTTTTCTATCAAAAGTATTATATTTTCTTTTATAACTGCAACATTACTTATAAAGGAAAATATAATACTTTTGATGAAAAAACAATACGTTTACATCAAAATATAAAAGCATTACATTTGTTCTCAAAAGTATTATATTTTCCCTTCTAAGTAACAAACACTTATTTATTTCCAATTTAGTATTACATTTGCTAATATAAATATTACATTTACATATTGATCTGACCCCATCCGACGCATCTCGTGAGACAATCTCATATAAGTATGACCCATTTTTATTCGTCCCTAGATCTATCCCGCATTAAAAAAACTATATATTTAATTTAGAAATTAAATACAAATTATATATTAACACCCCTTATGTTTCGCACCTTGGCTTGCTCAATTTTTTGTCGTTATACCCCTAAATTTAACATAAATAATGTATAACTTCATCGTCGCCGGGGTCAACACCATAGCAATGAAATAATTAAGCAGAAAGACAGTGGAGTTTTCAATTCTCTGATCTGTTCAAAGTTCGAGCCATTCACAGAGATTGAGATGGAGAACCATGAAAGGGGAAATCACAAGCAAGATGATGATCAATACAAGGTTCATTGCCTCATACTACCATATCCAGCCCAGGGCCACATAAACCCCATGCTTCAATTCTCCAAGCGATTAGAAGCCAAAGGAGTGAAGATCACCATAGCTATAACCAAGTTCTTCTTAACAACCCTGCAAGACCTCTCAAGCAGCCACCTCTCCATTGAAACCATCTCCGACGGCTTCGACGAGGGCGGCTCTTCACAGGCCCCGAACGGTCAGGTCTACATCGAAAAATTCCGAGAAGTCGGCTCCGAGACGTTGGCGCAAGTTATCCGTCGCCTTGGGGTTGGGGGGTGTCCGGTTAGCTGCGTCGTCTATGACGCCTTTCTGCCTTGGGTTGTGGACGTGGCGGCGGAGGAGGGGATCTCCGGCGCCGCTTTCTTTACTCAGTCGTGTGCGGTGGATGCGATTTACTATTACTGCCAACAGGGGCGGTTTAAAGTTCCTCTTGCCGGCGATGAAGTCGTTGAAATTCCGGGGTTGCCGTGTTTGGAGCCCAAAGACATGCCGTCTTTTATATATTCTCCTGAAGCATACCCCAAGGCCTTGGAAATGCTTATGAACCAATTCTGCAATGTTCAGAAGGCCGACTGGGTCCTGGTCAACACTTTTTACGAGCTCGAAAGCCAGGCAAGCTAAGCAAACCTTTAATTTTTTTTTTATTTTTTATTTTTCACTGTGTCAAAAGGCTATAGCTGGTAACAAATACATAATTTTATTTTTTATATAGTCAAATTTTTAGAGACAAAATACTGAACTTGACCCTTCAAGTCTCTACCTAACAATTTTCTAGTCACCTGGTGACGGGTGCTGGACTTACTCTTTGCTGGACTAAGTCCAATTAAATTCTTCCTGCACTTGCCAATAATGGTATTGGACTTGCTGTGGAGCCTCCGCCCAGCAAGTCATCTAGTGTTGGACTTTATCCTTTATCGAATACGTCCAACAATACCTCCAACACTTATCAACAATGGTGCTGGACCATAATTATTCCGTGGACCCGGGTCCACCTTGCAAGGTGGATCCGTGTCTAAAAATACACAATTTATCTACTGAATATTTACAATTTGAATTGTGAACGTTTAGTATGTAAATGGTAAACATTCAGTATATAAATTTTGTATTTTGACTCGTGTCCATGACATAATAATCGGTACTGGACTTGACCATTCAGACCTTCAATAAAATATCGCCTAATCACCTAGTGCTAGACTTAACCATTAACATCCTTTGCCCCAATTGCCCCAACAGGTAATTGATTGGATGAGGAAGTTATGGGTGGTTGGGGCAATTGGGCCAACTGTACCATCAAAGTATCTAGATAATCGATTGCCAGATGACAAAGAGTACGGTTTGAGCATGTTCAAACCGATGACCGAAGTTTGCATGAAATGGCTGGAAGACCAGCAGGATGGTTCAGTTGTTTATGTTTCGTTTGGAAGCATGGTGAAATTGCAAGAGGAGCAGATGGAGGAATTGGCGTGGGCTTTGAGGAGGAGCAACAGACCCTTCTTGTGGGTTGTAAGATCCGAGGAAGCTAACAAGCTTCCAAAGAATTTCAAAGAGGAGATAGAAGAGGAGACGAGAGGATTGGTGGTCTCGTGGTGCCCGCAGTTGGAAGTCTTGGCTCACAGTGCCGTGGGATGCTTTCTGACACATTGCGGATGGAACTCGACATTGGAAGCAATAAGTTTAGGGGTGCCGATGATAGCAATACCTCAATGGTCTGACCAAGCCACCAATTCGAAACTAGTGATGGACAAGTGGAAAACTGGGGTAAGGCCAAAGGCAGAAGAGAATGGTGTGGTGAAGAAAGAGGAGATTGAGGAGTGTATAGGGCGAGTGATGGAGGAAGAAGAGATGAGAGCCAATACTAGAAAATGGAAGCAAGTTTGCAGAGAGGCAATGGAGGAGGGTGGAACTTCCGACCGTGATATCGAGGACTTCATTTCTTGTTTGGCAGCCAAATCCATAACTAACTAAGACACATTTGACGCTGCACGAGCTTAGCTCACTAGTTCAGGAAGTAGTATTTGGGAGAAAAGATCAATATCTAAACCTTGGCATAGCAGTGTGGAGGTTATGTGCATTTCAATCAAATAAATTAAGATATTTCAATTGAGAGATGAATAAACTTGAACTTTATTTAAATAATTGTATTCCATGAGCCATGTTTGGTAGATGATTATTTAAAAGGCTTATTCAAATAAATTGATCAAGTACCATTTAACATGCATTCACATTAGGCTGGGATTATCTCATCCAATTTGCTATTGGCAAGATGATGTTAACAGGATTTGCAAATTTGCAAATCCTGTATAAAAGCTGTTGCTGCCTTTTTACTTTTTTTTTTTTTTTAGTTTTAAATATTTAAATGTAATTAATATAAACTAATAATGTTATTTAAATATATTGGTGCTCACTTTTGAAATTTGATTGGATTTGCAGGGATGTAGTGTGAATAGTAAATGATTTGTAAAGTGGGTGATGTGGAAGTGAAATCTATTTTTAATAGTGAGAGAAATTTACAGGGATAAGGATAACATTAACTAGACGAGTCCTATTTTACTATTTTAAAAAGAGGAAATCAACAATTTGGTTCTTCAATTGTTGACGAACTGTCAATGTAGTCCCTCAATCGCTTATTCATCGATTTGATCCCTGAAATCAATTATTTTTAGTCGATTTAACCCCTCCGGTCGTGTTCCGTCGTTTAGCTGGTGAGAGCTTCGATTAAGCGTGGGTATTTCGGTCTTTTCGTATCTTCACACCGGAGCTTCATTCCCTAAAGAATCTATCATCAACAATTTTATTTCTTTTGTTTTGTTTGGTTTGTTTGTTTGGTTTTGTTTTTGTTTTTGTTTTTTGTTTTTTTTTTTTTTTGAGAAAGAAGTAAAATGAATATGAATATATATATATATATATATATATATATCCAACCCTAAGGGCCTCCCACATCCTGGACAAAGCATTTGGGCCAAATGTCAGTGCGCATAAGGGATCTGCCAACTTTGGTCATAATTCTCACACTGCCATTGTTGATGTTCGAACCTTGATTTCTTCATCCAAATACCGCCACCTGAACCAGTGAGCTAAGCTTGTGCGGGCAAAAAAATTAGTTCTTTGATTATTTTTTATAAATTTTAAACTTAGTGTAATATTCAATTAACTATTACAAAAAAAATAAAAATAAAAAAAAATAAATAGTAAATAATTCCACTTAAGTTTCATTAATCAACACATAAATATAACCGAGGAATAGTAATAGTAATTATATAGATTTGAAGCAAGGTTTTTTTGTGTGAACACTATTATGTGTGGCAATTTATATCATGGACAAGGTCCACATATTATTATAGATCATGAATTCGAACAACGAATTACAGAATTCATATTTATAAGGTACAAAATTTCATATCACAAAATACAAAAAATTACAAAACAAGACATATAGCATAATGTTATGGACCCACCTGGATTGAAAAAGCGAAGTACAGAATTTATACTTGTAAACATAATTTCATACCACAAGACACAAAAAATCATAACACAAGACACATATACATATTATATATTTACTTATTTTTCAAATCTGAATTAGATATATAATTTGCGTTGACAGACACAAATTTTAACAAAACAGAAATTTCATAACATAAAACACAATTACTAATTTCTACGAAGTACATAATTTCTATTCATAAGTTACACAATCTCATAATGTGAGAGGCAAAGTCATACACAAATACATAAATTAGGATTCATAGTGCACTGGTCCATAGTATAACGATTGATTATGTCTTTACTAAACAAGTTGAGTTGGACAGAAAAGAGTAGGAATTTCCGACCACTTTTAAAGTGTGGTCGGAATTTAAGTAAAAATAGTCAAAACAATTTTTTCGTCCATTTAGCAGGTGGTCTCACTCCAACAAATTGTTCTTTCAGCAACATCTACTTAAATAGTCTTCGCACTTCGTCTTCACTCCATCAACACACGAACCCTAAAACCTCGTCCTCACTTCATCACTTCATCACTTCATCACTTCATCAACACACGAGCCCTAAACCCTCGTCCTCACTTCTTCACTTCATCAACACACGAGCCCTAAACTCTACCATCATCAACCCTCGTCCTCACTTCATCACAACCTAGTAGCCTACTCGTAGAATGAAGCAAAAGGAAGAAGACATTGCAAATCATAGCCTAATCGTAGAAAGCAGCAGAAGGAAGAAGACATTGCAACAGATTTTTTCCAGGTTCTCCTATTCTATATCCTCCTCTTTCTCTCTATATATGCATATATTTATGTTTGTATCTAATTTTTGATTAAGATTCATATTTTGTTTTTTCATTTTATAATTACATTTATTCAGAAGAATCAGTAAATAATTTCTATGAATTCCTATCCTTTTGCGCGAAATTTCAGTGAGCTGCCGATTTGTTTTTGAATTTTGAGTGTCAATCTAGCTAATTTGGTGGGAATTGTGTTTCTTCTATATAATCTATTCACTTGAAATTGCTTTTGGAGTTCCCTTACTTTGTTAACATGCCTTCCCTTTATTGACTGTGCACATTGATATTGTGAGTACCTTTTATAATAGACTTGATGCCTATACATCAATTACGAGTTAGAAAAAAGTTCTAATTTTGTACTATGATTCATGGTATGCTTAAATTAAATTATTCTCCTATGAATTGGTGATGTGTGGTTTGAAAGAAGTCACCATTGATATCATTTCAGAGAAGTAAGGAGAAAAGCATAAAAGTAAAAGCCACAAGCATAAGGATTCATCAGTGAGTTCTCTTTCTATTCCTATCTTTACAAAAGTTCAGCATTCTAAAACATGTTTATAGTTGAAATGAGCCTAAAATAAACTCCCTACTTGCTTTTCATTTTCTGTTTATCTTTGAACTAATTTTTTGGACCATAAACATATGATCAGTCCTATTGGATATAAATGCTAGACCCATCCCCTAATTTCAGTTTGATTGAAAATGAAATCTTGAATTGCCCTCCGGACACCTCCCGTCTCCTATTGCATCGAATAGGATTTATGTTTGTGACTATTGGTGTGCTAACACTATTGGTGGCCATTTATACAAAATCTAACCCTCAATGTTAATAAGTTTACATAAATAAAATGAAAGGTTTAGTTGTGTTTCAAACTCACATTTGGTATTGTATTTAGCTGCAATTTTCTGATTGATTTACATCAACATCATTTACATTGTGATGTACTTGGTTCAGATTAGGAGTATATTCTTCTAATTTTTAAATCATGAGTTATTCATAGTTTTAGAGATTTATGAATCTCTAATTACTTCCTGTGAGGGTCAATGGCATGCTGGTGATTTTGGAGTTCCAACTGCTTAAATTAGTAGTAGTTTCTTAAGTTCGAGTCCTTGTTTAAATGTCCTAGAATTGATCTTTTGAAGTATTGAGTCTAAAACCTTTATAATGTTCTTTTTGTATTGAGCCCTCTTCAGGGTATCTTTTTCAGGGTATTGCTGAAAACTTCTCTCTAGGATTCCTAGATTGTTTTCCCTGTACTTTTTCTGTTCACAAATTTCTGTTTTTGTCTGGATTTTTCACAACTGTAGGACAGTCCAAATTTTGCATTTAGCTCAAGAACTAGTTAGCTTTTGTTTATTTTGAATTTAAAATGTAAAGAAAATATATAGCAAAAGTTGCATTGGAAAAGGCTATACTCTAAATAATTTGGCATTCCTATTAATCTGTACCATACTTTGAGGACATAATTTTTGGGGTCTTGCTTTCATTTTGTTATTTATCTGACAGATTTCCATTCCCCCTTGGCAGGTTCATTGATAGGGAAAATGAACTTAGACAATCAAAACCACCCACTCCACAGCTACCACAAAGACCAACCATGGATCCCTGGACAAAGTCTCGACTCAGTGGTCATTTGTGTACACAATCACCTCTGCTATTATCATCAGGTTAATACCAGCAGTATCTCGGTACTCTCTAGACTTACATTCTTACAATTCTTGGATGTCTAACCTAATCTATACAAGAATTTCATATAGGACTGCAATTTTAGTTTTCTAGCCTTGTTACTCTCTGGACTTACATTCTTACAATTCTAGGCCATCTAATATATTTCCTTGAATATTTTTCTGGAGCATTTTCTCAGCAACTCACTATATTAGTAAGTGATTAGATGAACTACAGGTTAACATGCTTGCTCTACTAGAGTTTTGCTCTTTTTCTTCTTATTTTTTGTTCATTTCTGTTTTATTCTTCTCTATTATTTTATTATTCATTTGTGTTTGTTTATGTTTGTAGGAGTATATGATACATTGCAGAAGAAATATCTGAAAACACTCTTATTCTCTGTGTGTGAAGCAATAGATGGGCCCATATGATTGAGGAATATGCTTGTAAGATTTCAAGATATGTTTCATTCTATACTTTTCATTTTATATGCACATGTATATAATGTGTGTATTTGGTATAGATGCATGCTCATACATGAAGAATTGAACTGGTTTCTAACATACTTCCTTTTCTGTGTCAGGCCTTCCATAATTCTTATATACATGTGCCAATGTGGGTTCTATGTCTATAGCATCGCTGCCCTCCTTGTCTGGGAAACTCGAACGAAATATTTTGCAGTAATGATGTCTCATCATATAGTCACTGTCATACTGATTTCATACTCATACATTACAAGGTAAATTTCAAAACTCGGTGTTCTTTTTAGCCTCCTGCATTGAGGTATTTGATTGTTCATGAAGTTTATGGTCTCTTTTGATTGTTCATGACGTTTAACAATATCTATTATCAAAATTGTTATTTTATTCAGTAGTTAAATATGAGTCATTACTAATACAGGGTATATACTAACACTAATGCTTTTTTTTTTTCATTATCTAATGTTTGATATAAGTCAATTTCATCTTAGGCTCAAGATTTTTTTTTTTAAAAATCATATATGCAACATCAAACAGTGCATATGGTATTTATTAAATTATCATAATATCATATCATTGTATTCTCATGTATCTTATCTACCCCTAGATTTTTATTTTGTTTATTCATTTTTTAAATCATATATGCAGCCGGCGTGGTTTCGGCGACTGAGACGGGGCTCGAAGGTGAGTAGTTGCATGAATTTCATGTGAATTTCCCCCGAAGTTGTTTATTTGCGGTAATGCGGGCCTGCCGGGGTTGATTAGTTTGTTTTTTTGTTTGTTTGAAGTTTTAACTGTGAAATGCAGAGGCTTTGTGGCAGTTGTCGCACAGTGGTGGGCCCAAATCCTACCCCGAGCGTCCTAACGTGGCTGATTGTATCTATTACTTGGGGACTGGCTTGTGCGGCTATGGTGCTCGCTGTCGGTTCAACCAAGGCCTAATTGGGTTGATCTTAATGTTCACTTGGGGTTTAGTGTAGATCTGTTGATAATTGGGTTGATCTTAATGTTCAAAGAAGGTACTAAATTCTGTGTCGTTGTCTTAGTTCAATTTCACTTTCTTTCCCTTCTGGTTTCTAGATATTCATACTGCCTGTGTAAGTTTTGCAGTCAGGGGTTGTGCTAGATGAAGTTCGAAAAAAGATTTGAGTTGTCGACTCAAAGACACTTGCACTGATCTCATCAATTTTGACTAGCTTCATAATAATGCACATTTTCTTTACTACTGCCATGAACTTGACCATTTTCACCAGTAAAACTTGTTTGGCTTTATATTAGGGACTTGGGCTCACGAACACTATTGATAACTGCAACAACCCGGGTTCCACTTGAGCAAGTAGGGCATGGATTGACACCAACACCAATCGCGAAAACTAGAGAATGATCAACACTCAGCGGGGCGTTTGCAGGGTAGAGTCTCGAATTCAAGCTTCTGAGGGAGTCCGTGAAAGAAATTGTCACTGGCGTGGTGTCCGCGAAAGTAATGCCTAGTTGGAATTGTATTATTACTTCATTGTAATTACATTTGGAATAAATATGGCATCATTTTTTGACCACATAGTAAATACTAGTTGTAGGTTTACAGTTTTGTAAATATTAATATGATATAAGTATAACCACATAGTAATCTTCCATCAATTTGATATGCTAGAAATTAAAGTTCTAAAATTTGACATGGGATGGGTCAATGTGATCAATAGATATTTATGCAGATGGTATACTTATTCCAAATTAGGCAAGACAGGTTGGTGATAGACTTCTGGAATGATATATTATTCTTCTTACCAGGAAAATAATGGGATAAGACTTCTGTAATGTTTGTTCTCATGCTATGTAGTTAAGTCCCCCATTTAATGCATTGGCAGGCAAAAGAGGCTGGTAGCACTTGATTTTGTATTGGTGCTGCATGCAGGGATACTATAGGAAGGAAAACCAATTTAATATAATTTTCTGCCTGTGAAGTTGAAACTGATGCTACAATTGGTTCTCTGGCATTAATTCTTCAAAGGAGAATTGATTTTTCCAATCTCATGATTGTATGTGGGACTTTGAAGAACTTTTCAAAGAGCACTTCAGGAGGCGCGGTTATTACATTCTCAAAGCATGTGATGCCTATATTGAGAAATTTGCTCCCTTGGATGAGGTGCGTATGAACTTTTATGATGTATTTTAAACTTGTTTATTCCATCATATGACTCAATATCAATAATTGACAACTTTTCTTATTATTTATTCATTTTTTTGACAGCATTATTATTTGTACATTTATGTAAGCGAGTTGTCATTACCAATAGGACAACTTTAATTACAGCAAATACAAACTCATCACTTTTGTAAGTTTTCACTATTGAAGAGGCCAAAGGGAGCTCCATACATCAACCAAGGTGTGGGATGCACGGAAATTATATTGCTGATAATAGGCATGGAGATGATGAAGGTAAATTACATTCCCATGGACTTAAAGGATTGCTTTCTTTTTCCTGTTTTATCTCTTGAAATTCTCTTATCTCTATTTTGTCCAATCACTACATCTTGAACACAAGCAGGATTTTGTTCATGGAGCATGTATGAAATAGAAGGTTTTTGTGAAAGATCTTTTGAAATTACAGTGTCTGACATGTATCAGGTATTAGTGTTTCTTACAGTACTAAAAAATTTGGAATTTCATTACATTGTACTCAGTTGACATTGACCAATCTGGCTATTCACTTAGTCTTATAATTACAGAGTAGTTTTTGTTTTCTTTTTGAAATGAGGTTGGCTTAAGTGTTGACATCCCCTCTTATATATGGTTGTGTAATTTTCTATTTGAGATTCCCATGCGTATTAACCTATTAGATTTTTGGTTTAGAAGTATTATTTTTGTTTTATTTTGTCATGGACTCTCATAGATGGAAAGCAACATTCATCCTCTCGGGGTGCTGAAATTTGTATAATTGTAACAGGTCAAATTCATTTGATATTTGTAGAATTTTATATTTTATTTTTTTGGTTAGTAAATCTTTTATATTTTATTTTTTTGGTAATTGAATTTTTTTATTTTTTCTTTGTAAATTTTACCGACCACTAGTGGATGGTAATTCCGACCAATTACCGACCACCAATGGTAGGAAATATGCTCTCTTTATCCGACAACTAGTAGTTCCGACGTCCTCAAAATGAAGCCGGTATTTCCGACCACCTTGAGTAGTTGTCGATAACAGCTAGGGCTTTTTTTCGAATCCATGAAATGGTCGGAAAATTGGTCGGAAACTGCATTTTCAACCGGAAATCTCCCTTTTCCGACCACTTTTTGGTGGTCGGAAAAATACAGATTTCCAGCCGTGTTGGACGAAAAAAAAAAAAAAAAAAATACTTTTTTCGACCATTTTTGTGAGTGGTCGAAAAAGTGGTCAGAAATTTGACAAATTCCAGCAGTGAAATGCACTAGCAATAAATGCCCCAATATGTTTGGTGTATTATATAACAGCAAGAAATAATTGAGCAGGAAGACAGTGGGGTTTTCTCTGTTCTATGTTCCGTCCATTTACAGAGACTAAGATGGAGAACCATGAAAGGGGGAATCACAAGAATGATAATGAATACAAGGTGGTTCACTGCCTCATATTGCCATATCCAATCCAGGGCCACATAAACCCCATGCTTCAATTCTCCAAGCGATTAGAAGCCAAAGGAGTGAAGATCACCATAGCTGTAACCAAGTTCTTGTTAACAACCCTGCAGGACCTCTCAACCACCCACCTCTCCATTGAAACCTTCTCCGACGGCTTCGACGAGGGCGCCTCTCCTCAAACCCGAAGAACTCAGGCTTACATCGATAAATTCCGCCAAGTTGGTTCCCAGACGTTGGCGCAACTTCTCCGTCGCCTCCGTGTTGGGCGTTTTCCGGTCAGCTGGGTCGTCTATGACGCCTTTCTTCCCTGGGCTGTGGACGTGGCGGTCGAGGAGGGAGTTTCCAGTGCCTGTTTCTTTACGCAGTCGTGTGCGGTGGATGCGATTTACTATTACGCACAACAGGGGCGGCTAAAACTTCCTCTTGCCGAGAATGAAGTGGTTGAAATTCCGGGGTTGCCATGTTTGGAGCCCAAAGACATGCCGTCTTTTATATATTCTCCTGAATTATACCCCTTCGTCTTGGATAAGCTAGTGGGCCAATTCTGCAATGTTGAGAAGGCCGACTGGATCCTCATAAACACTTTTTACGAGCTCGAGCGCGAGGCAAGCAATCCTTTGTTTTTTCATTTTAATTGTTAGATTAAGGCTTGCTTAGAAAATTGCTGTTAGGTAATAGCTATTAGTCGTGATTGGGTTAATTAAGGTATAACTAGTTGATAATATTACTTGTTTGATAAATTAGTGATTAGCTGATAACTGTTTGGTATAATTTATTTTCTCAAAAAGTTAATTAAAAAAGTTGCTTTGAACAGCTTTTTGAATTTTAGCATTTTTGAGTTACATAAATTTAATTAACCAAACACTTGGATTTATTTTTTAACAAAGTCAAACAATTAATAATGGTCAAATAAGTCAAAATTAACTGATAAGCTAACTATTTTACCAAACAGGGCCTAAGTGCTTACTGTTGGGCCGAGGCCAGTATAGGGTCAAATCCAGCAAATTAATGGTTAGAAAATTGTTGGATGGAAGTGGGTGAAGGTTAAGTCTCGCACCTCCTCTAGAAAATGTGGTTGTATATAAAGAAATAAAATTGAGCCTTTAGTGTGAGTTATGACTTATGACTAGTAATAAGCACTTAAAACTGACAGGTGCTGAAAGGGAGAGTTGTTGAGCTGAGGGCAGAGGCCAAGTTTAGCACTCAGCCTTTTAAAATCTGGCTATATAAAAAAAAATAGAAATTGTGCATTCACTGTGAACTATAACTTTTGACGAAGTGTAAGCACTCGATCTAAATACTTATTAATATGCAAAAAAGTTATAACTCATAGCGAAGGTGAAACTGTGCTGGACTTGGTCCTTCACAGATTTTTGCCAAATAATTCCTTCACCACCCGCCAACACTATTGTTAGACTTCACCCTTTAGGCCCCCGCCCGACAATTTGTTCTTAGTTACATGGTGCTAGCTAGTATTGGCCCAACATTAATTAAATTCATTTATACTCCCTCCGTCCCATTTTATGTGTCTAGTTCGGTTAACGAGACTTGACTGAAGTTATTTTTAATTCATTTTTTCATAAATGTTAAGTTTATTATTAATATACAAAATTTATATATTTAGAAACTACACTAAAAGTACTATTAAACACAAAAAAAAAAAATCAAATTTAAAAACAAGTAATAATAATAATAATAATAATAAAATAAAAAAAAAGTTGATTTGACCAATGAATAGTAAATAGGACAGATAAAATGGGACAGAGGGAGTAACTATTTTGACTAGGCATAGACGATCAGATTGGTCGTCACAGTACTGTTTTATTAAATCAAATTGATTGTACAGGTAATTGATTGGATGAGAAAGTTATGGGTAGTGGGGGCAATTGGGCCAACTATACCCTCAAGGTACCTAGACAATCAATTGCCAGATGACAAAGAGTACGGTTTGAGCATGTTCAAACCAATGACGGAAGTTTGCATGAAATGGCTGGATGACCGGCAAGATGGTTCAGTTGTTTACGTTTCGTTTGGAAGCCTGGCGAAATTGCAAGAGGAGCAGATGGAGGAATTGGCGTGGGCTTTGAGGAGGATCAACAGACCCTTCTTATGGGTAGTTAGATCCGAGGAAGCGAATAAGCTTCCTAAGAATTTTGCGGAGGAGATAGAGGAGGAGAGGAGAGGATTGACGGTGTCGTGGTGCCCGCAGTTGCAAGTCTTGACTCACCGCGCTGTGGGATGTTTTCTGACGCATGGCGGGTGGAATTCGATATTGGAAGCAATAAGTTTAGGGGTTCCAATGATAGCAATACCTCAATGGTCGGACCAACCCACCAACTCGAAACTCGTGATGGACAAGTGGAAAATTGGGGTCAAGGCAAAGGCAGAGGAGAATGGTGTGGTGAAGAGAGAGGAGATTGAGGAGTGTATAGGGCGAGTGATGGAGGGAGAAGAGATGAGAGCAAATGCAAGAAAATGGAAGCAAGTTTGCAGAGAGGCAATGGAGGAGGGTGGCACTTCTGACCGTGATATCCAGGACTTCATTTCTTGTTTGACAGTCAAATCCATGACTAAGTAAGACACATTTAACGAGGCAAGATTTATCCAATGTATTTTTCAGGTAGGAGTTACGAGTTTTCTAATAAAATAAATTAAGACACAGTCATGTTTGATAGATGAATATTTACAATGCTTATTCAAATGAATTGATCAACTATTTAACATGCATTCACATTAACTAGATGAGTGGTATTTTACTATTTTAAAAAGTTAGTATTTGTTGTTTCAAAAAATGAAAGTTAGTATTTGTACTTTAAAAATATATATGGAGTAATTCTTTTCTGCATGCGACCTTGGTTGATCAAGTGAAAATAAGAAAAAGGGGTCATCCATTAAAAATTAAAAAAAAAAAAAAAAACTTTCAGCAACTTTTTTTTTAAAGAAAGAAGTACAATGAAAATATATATACTCCATCTGCTATATTTTACATTTATCCTCTATTATTCATGAATCCATTCAATTCATTTTTTTTTTAAACACTCATGATTCTTTACAATATAATATTTGTTTTATATATTTTTAATCTTTTTAAGAACATCACCATCAGAAGTGAATACCCAGTTATTAGAAACAGGCCCAGCCTTGGGCAAGGGCGGCAGGCTGGGCCCTTGCCCAAGGCCCCATGCTTGGAAGGGGCCCCTACTATACCCTATACCATTACTCTTATATATACTAAAGAAATGCAATATAATGATTGAGTATACATTTGAGTTATTGGTTTTTGAGTTGGTTGAGTTGGTAAAGCTTAGTGTTTTAATACTCATGTTGAGGGATCGAATCCTCAATATGTAATTTTACATAAAATTTCCTCCTCTACTATTTAGTATATGAATTTAAGAATTTTAATACACTAAGATTTGAGTTGGTTGAGTTGGTAGGACTTGTAATTTTTGTGTTCATGGTTAAGGGATCAAATCCCTTTATATATCATTTTCCTATAATTTATTTATTTCTATTTCTAATTTGTATTTTTCTAAATTTAATTTGTAACTTTGTGATTTTGTTACCTTTCTATAATTATAGTGAGATTTATAATATAGATTGATTTGTAATACATATCAAATTTTGAATCTATTTCTATTCGAGTAATTTACTACTTATATTTAGAACTAGTTTTTTACGCGCATTGCGCGATTGGGATAATGCCCAATGTTTTTTTTTTTTTTTTAAATAAGTACTTTAAAGTATATTAAGACAGGATTATATTGAAATTGTTCATGCATAGATAATTGAAGGTTGAATTTGCTTATTTAAATAGGTAATTCTTCTCCCAAAGGTTGAGTCCTCAACCCCAAGGGCCCCCCACACTCCGGCCCGACAGAGCATTGTGGGAAGTTGTAAATCACGGTGACTCAATGGTTCAGTAGACAGGGCCAAATGCTGATACGCACAAGGAATCTGCCCACTTTGGACATAATTCTCACACTGCCGCCGCCGAGGTTCAAACGTTGGTCTCTTCTCCTAAATACTACCCACTAAACCATTGAGCTAAGCCCGTGCAGGTTAAATAGGTAATTCTCAGTTTACAAATGCAAGATAATATAATCAAGATTGATTATAATTGTCAATAAAATAATTGTATAAGTATAGTTGAAACCAAATACGGGACATAAGGGAGAAGACATAAAAATTAGGGCATAAAATATTAAATATATACTAATATTGTTTGAGGAGATTCCGACATTAGGATTTGTGGTTAAGTTCTATTAATACTTTAATATTAGAATTAGATTAATGGTGTAGTTATAATTCTATATTAGACTTTAATATTAGAATTAGACTAACGGTGAATTAACGGAAAAGTTAAATGGATAATCATATAATTAAAGATAAATTAGAAAATCTTAAAAGAAAAAAATTATAACCTGAACAATATGAACCATTCATTTGATTTAATAATTTGGCGGTCATTTTTTTCTACCCAATGTTAATAATTAAATAAATTCGCTGGTCAAATCCGCTAGTATAATCCGCTAACTGCTGATTGTCAAACAAGGACATTGCGAGGTAGTTCTCACTTCAATTTGTTGTGTGATTTGAATACTCTCTTTGTCACAAAATCTCTCAAAGTAGTTAATATGGTTGACTTTATTAATTATATTTTTTTTAATTTTTTCATGGTATTAATAAAATACTTGGTAAATAAATATATAGCATTATTTTGTATTATAACTTTGATATTTAATTAGAAAAACAGTGCACAAAAAACATAATAGATAATGTAGTCAATATAATCAATTGATGAATTTGAATGTAAAAATTTTTACATTTGAGAAAAATAAAGACAATTTAACTAATGAAAATATTTCTTTTAATTAATTTATTGATAATTAATAATTTTTTTCACTGAATAAAGACATTGTAAGGACAATGTAGCGAATATAATCAATTAATAAATTTGAATATAAAGAATTTTTATATTGAAGAAAAATAAAGACAATATAACTAATAAAATTATTTCTCTTATTTAATTTATTGATAATGAATAGTTTTTTTTTTTGAATAAAGGCATTGTGGACACATAATTCTAAATTAAAGAAATGCATATGTATTATTTTTTGTTGTAACTACTAAATTATTATTTATATAATTTAATAAGAGTAAAATAGAGTACTAATTATGCCAACTTTGATTGGGATGAGGTTCGAACCTAAGACTTTTTTTTTTTTTTTTTTTTTATTGAAATCAATGAGTAAGTTAACGGTGAACTAACGGCAATTCTTAAAATTTTAACGGAATTAGTAACGGTGTGTGAGTATTTTAGGAAATTTAGTGTAAAATTTAAATCTGATCAATCTTTTAATCAATCTGAGCCATTCATTTGATTAAAATCTGTGACCGCCATTTTTTCTACCAATTATAGGCCTAACTCTCTTGGGCTCTTATTAGTATAGTAGATATTTGTTGTTTTGTGAACTTTATAATGAGTTATGTATATGTAATATATTTTGTGATTTAGTTATGAAAAATATTTTAAAAGATATATATTAATTTCGTATAGGGCCCATTTTTGTTGTTATGCCCCGGGTCTAAAGAATGATAGGACCGGGCCTGATTAGTAACACTAATATGCATAGCAACTGATGGGAGGCACATGTTTTAATAAAAAGAATTTCCATGCAAAGATTGGGTTAGTGGCAAAAAAAAAAAAAAAAAAAAAAAAAAAAACAAAACAAAACAAAACAAAAAAACAAAAAACAAAACAAAAAAAAAAAACGCAGGCGCGGTAGGCCCAATTCGCGCCCGCTGGGATGCGTCAAAGTAGTCGCCAGCTGGCGGCCACTCTGACTTTAATACCACCTTTTGTTTTTGTTCTTTTGTTGTTGCAGAATTCTTTTTTAACCTCCCTCTCATATTTTCTTTCCTAATCACTCTTACAAAAATTCCTTTAAAAATTGCATCGGAGTTAAAGTGATAAGGGTGCTCTAAATCCAGAGAATGAATGTCCCACAACCTCAGTTCGATCCAATGATTAGTACTGTCAAAGCGGACTGGCTAGCCCGATTAGACCTGCCCCACCGTGAGCCTAATTTTGTACGGGCTTTTGCAGGCCGGCTCGCGGGCTAAGGTTCATGACCTTGAAAACCGCAAATTATGCTGTGCAACCGAATGCACCTTGCAAGGTGCATACAGTTGCAAAACGACGCCGTTTTGGTTAAAAAAACGCGCGTCCCACTTAAAGAATAAATCAGGTTCGATTCCTGGCAATAGCATTTTTATATATCCAGAAATTCATAAGTATATATCCACAAATTCATAACTATATATCCACAGTGAATGAATGAAGTAAAAATCCACAATGAATGAATGAATGAAGTAAAAATCCACAATGAATGAACTAAATATCCACAATGAATGAACTAAATATCCACAATGATTGAACTAAATATTCACAATGAATGAACTAAATATCCATAAATTCATAACTATATATCCGGAAATTTATAACTATATATCCATAAATTCATAACTATATATCCACAGTGAATGAATGAAGTAAATATCTACAATTAATGAACTAAATATCCACAATGAATGAACTAAATATCCATAAATTCATAACTATATATCCACAAATTTATAACTATATATCCAGAAATTCATAACTATAGCTATTGCCGAGAATCGAACCTGAATTTTTTTTTTTTAAAGTGGGACACGCGTTTTTAATCAAAACGACATCGTTTTGCATCATATGCACCATGCGCATGGTACATTCGGTTGCACAGCATAACTATTGCTTGAAAACCAAGCAAGATGGTTAGGTATTATAAACTAATGATAGGGGCTAACTACGCACTTAGGTATTATAAACTAATGATAGGGGCTAACTACGCACTAATTACATTAGTTTAATGAATTAATTTAATTATCTTCTTGGAAAGCGAAAATACTGATGACACATAGGGCCCGTTTATGCTAGCCTGATTTTAAATATTCCTCTAAGTACACGGAGACTCCAAGATCGTTGGATATGGCAATGGGATGACAAGGGCGCTTATACGGTGAAATCATGCTATAGGCATCTAACTACTGTGATGGGGGATGATCAGCCGTGGGGAAAAATATGGGGTTTGCATATACCTCTCAAGGTGAAGAGTTTTTGTTGGCAGTTAGCTTCAATGTATCTTCCTACTCTTGATATATTAAGCTCTAAACATATTGCATGCCTGTTGGACTGTCATATGTGCAGGAATGTGGCCGAATCAGCCTTGCATTTGTTCGTTCACTGTACTGTGACGACAAGAATTTGGAATAATCTGGGAATGGCTCATATCTCGGCTTTTAATGGTAATAATGTTCGTGAATGATTTTTTTGGGCTCTAAGTTTATTGAATGACACTGCTTTGCCTAATTTTGCTATGGTTTGCTGGGGACTTTGGTGTAGTAGGAATGATAGGGTATGGAATGACCTTGGTTTTGATTCTAACACGGTGATACACAGAACACTGATGTTCCTGGAGAACTGGCGGAACGCGAATGAGGCTACATCCATAACCAACGCTGATGCGCCCCATCCTACACGCTGGACTAAGCCTGCGTTGGGGAGGATTAAGCTGAACACAGATGCAGCAATTTGCCAAGGCTCTAACGTCATGGGTCTAGGTTGGGTGTTGCGTGATGATGAGGGGAAGTTTCTAGCTACCAAGAACACAATACTGCCCGGGAATTACTTGGTGAAGGAGTCTGAAGCTATGTCTATTAGAGAGGCTCTGGGTTGGTTAATAAGTACTGGTATGGGGAGTGTGGATGTAGAAATATAATGGACTCACAAGTCGTGTATAATGCTCTCCGTTCGTCTTCTTTTAATTATGCGTTTGGTCGTTTGATTGATGATGTAAGAGATTTAGCATCCGCAATTGGGGATGTTGAATTTCATTTTGTTAAGCGGTCTGCGAACTGTCTTGCCCATGCTGTTGCACGGGAGGCTTTTTCAGTGACAGGCTGTGGGGGCTGGATCGACTTTGCTCTGTCGTTCCTTGTAAACATTCTTGAGCATGATTTAATGGATTAATCCCTTTTCTTAAAAAAAAAAAACAAAAATAAAAAAAAAAACAAAAAACATGTTTACTAGCACAGTTTTCCATTTCGAAAACTGAAAGTAATTTTTCAATTTTCTAGAAAACTGTAACACTCTTAGAAACCTTAAGAAAGAAAACTACGCACCTTAATCACATAGTACAAAAACAACTCACCTTTAAGTACAAAAATCACGCACCTTAAGAAGGAAAACTACGCATCTTAAGAAAGAAAACTACGCGCCTTAATCACAGCACAAAAACAACTCACCTTAAGCACAAAAACCACGCACCTTAAGAAAGAAAATCACGCACCTTAAATTTGACTTAGATGAAAAAATTATCAAATTTTTCAGTGTTTTTTTTTTTTTTTTTTGCTAATCTTGTATGTTGATTTAGGCCAGATCAATGGCTCAGATTTAACCGCACAATCGCACGAGACACATCCAACCGCACGTGAACTGAATTATATATATATATATATATATATATATATATATATATATATATATATATATATATATATATAATAAAATTGTTGGAATGCGGATAGTCTAATAACTAACTATCATGGGTACTTGGTAATTTTTTACCCACCTTATTAGATTGGTAAAAGGAATATTCAAGTTTGTTTTAAAAAAATATTGAAAAATATTTTGAGAAGGGGAAATTTTAACATTTTCTTTATCACATTTCTTTGGACTCAGGTGGATGGAAATCCAAAATTAATGTTGAAAAAAATTTAAAAGGAATCTACCCACTAAAACCTGGCAATTTATATCATGCACCAGGACGCATATTGCATTGTGCGCCCAGGTACAAAACGACATTGGTTTATTGTTAACTTGCTAAAAAAAATCATGTTTTAAAAATGTACATAATTGTATAGGAGAATGTACATAAACTTTTAACTGTTAAAAAAAATCGCGTTATATAAATGTACATAATTGTATAAAATAATATACATAATTGTATACCAGAATGTATATAATTATATAACATAATACACATACACTTTGTCGCGTCAACTCTCCACACAACTTATCAAAATGACGTCGTTTTGGGAGGCGCGGGACGCACAGTACTATGTACACCGTGGTGCAGGGTATAACGTACGGGTGCTAAAACCTAAGTGATGGATGGGGTACTTGGACTCGAGTGATTGTTCCTAGAGTAGTTGGTCAATCAATTTTGAACAAAGTGTTCAACATCAAACCCTCAGATGAGTCAATGAAGTAGGCTCTTCAGCACAAGTCTCTAGGGACAAGTCTCTAAGGGATAAGGGTAAACAGTCACTCATGCCTATTTATTAGTTAAATACAAATTACAGTATATATTATCATACCGGGTGAAATTTTTTAATAAAGAGTTCTAATTTTCACCGTGGCTTGATCCATTTTGTCGTTATACACAAATTTCACCACAAATAATTTATTAAATCTACAACTTCAACATCTCAGAGGTCAGCACCGTACCGCACTCAAGTATATGGTGTAATATTTAACAGCATTACAGCAAGAAATAATTGAGCAGGAAAATAGTGGGGTTTTCTCTGTTCTATGCTCCGTCCATTTACAGAGATTGAGATGGAGAACCATGAAAGGGGAAATCAAAAGCATGATGAGGAAGATAATGATAATCAATACAAGGTGGTTCACTGCCTCATATTGCCATATCCAGCCCAGGGCCACATAAACCCCATGCTTCAATTCTCCAAGCGATTAGAAGCCAAAGGAGTGAAGATCACCATAGCTGTAACCAAGTTCTTGTTAGCAACCCTGCAGGACCTCTCAAGCACCCACCTCTCCATTGAAACCATCTCCGACGGCTTCGACGAGGGCGTCCCTTCTCATACCCGGAGCAGTCAAGCTTACATCGATAAATTCCGACAAGTCGGCTCCGAGACGTTGGCGCAAGTTCTCCGTCGCCTCCGTGTTGGGCGGTTTCCGGTCAGCTGCGTCGTCTATGACGCGTTTTTGCCATGGGTTTTGGACGTGGCGGTCGAGGAGGGAGTTTCCGGTGGCTGTTTCTTTACGCAGTCGTGTGCGGTGGATGCGATTTACTATTACACACAGCAGGGGCGGCTAAAACTTCCTCTTGCCGACGATGAAGTGGTTGAAATTCCGGGGTTGCCATGTTTGGAGCCCAAAGACATGCCGTCTTTTATATATTCTCCTGAATCATACCCCTTCGTCTTGGATTTGCTAGTGGACCAATTCTGCAATGTTGAGAAGGCCGACTGGATCCTCATCAACACTTTTTACGAGCTGGAGCGCGAGGCAAGCAACCAATCCTTTGTTTTTTCATTTTAATTAATTGTTAGATTAAGTGCATGCTTACTGTTGACGGAGGTTAGCGACTTAGCGTAGTGCCAAGTCCAACAAATTAATGGTTAGGTAATTGTTGGGCGTAGGCGGGCGAAGAGTTACACCTGTCTCTAAAAATGTGACAGTATATAAGAAAATAAAATTATGCATTAGTATGAGTTATGACTAGTAGTGGTAAGCATATAAAACTGACATGAGAGGGAGAATTGTTGGGCGGAGTGCGGAAGGTGGAGGCCAAGTTTAGTATCCTATTTTTTAAAATTGTGACAGGTATATAAAAATATGAAATTGTGTCTTTAGTGTGAACTATGACTAGTGGTAAGCACTTAAAACTAACAGGTGCTGAGAGGGAGAGTTGTTGGGCGGGAGGCGCAGGGCGAAGGAAGTTTAGCACCCTGTTTTTCAAAAATATGGCGGTATATAAAAAAATAAAGTTAACTTCACTGTGAGGTATAACTTTTTGGCAAAGTGTAAGCTCTCGATCTAAATACTTATAAGCAAAAAAAATTATAGCTCAGCAAAGGTGAAACTGTGCTGGACTTGCCCCTTCACTAGTTTTTGCCAAATAATTCTCTCACCACCTGCGAGTTGAATTGCTAGACTTCACCCTTTAGGCCTCCACCCAACAATCTAACAATATTGTTTTGTTTAAATCAATTTGAGTGCACAGGTAATTGATTGGATGCGGAAGTTATGGGTGGTTGGGGCAATTGGGCCAACTATACCATCAAAGTACCTAGACAATCGATTGCCAGATGACAAAGAGTACGGTTTGAGCGTGTTCAAACCGATGACAGAAGTTTGCATGAAATGGCTGGACGACCGACAAGATGGTTCAGTTGTTTATGTTTCGTTTGGAAGCATGGTGGGATTGCAAGAAGAGCAAATGGAGGAATTGGCGTGGGCTCTTAGGAGGAGCAACAGACCCTTCTTGTGGGTAGTTAGATCCGAGGAAGCTAATAAGCTTCCTAAGAATTTCGCGGAGGAGATAGAGGAGGAGAAGAGAGGATTGGTGGTGTCGTGGTGCCCGCAATTGCAAGTCTTGACTCACTACGCGGTGGGATGTTTTCTGACGCATTGCGGGTGGAACTCGACATTGGAAGCAATAAGTTTAGGGGTTCCAATGATAGCAATGCCTCAATGGTCGGACCAAACCACTAATTCGAAACTCGTGATGGACAAGTGGAAAACTGGGGTTAAGGCAAAGGCTGAGGAGAATGGTGTGGTGAAGAGGGAGGAGATTGAGGAGTGTATGAGGCGAGTGATGGAGGATGAAGAGATGAGAGCAAATACCAAAAAATGGAAGCAAATTTGCAGAGAGGCGGTGGAGGAAGGTGGCACTTCTGACCGTGATATTCAAGACTTTGTTTCTTCTTTGGCAGCCAAATCCATGACGGAATAATCTCACCGATTGAGATATGTAAAACAGTCTCACAGGAAATCGGTCATTTAAATAATTGCACTCTATGAGTCATGTTTGATATGTGAATATTTAAGATGCTTATTCAAATGAATTTATCAACCATTTAACATGCATTCACATTAACAAGATGAGTGTTTATTTTACCCGCACAAGCTTAGCTCAATTGTTCGGTAGGTGGTATTTTAGGGATTATGTCTAAAGTGGAAAGATACCTTGTGCACACTTACATTTAGCCCTGTATGCTGAGCCATTGAGTCACGATGATTTACATCTTCCTAAATGCTCTGTCGAGTCGGGGTTGAGGATTCAACGTAACCTTTTGGGAGAAGATAAGTGCTATTCTTACTATTTTAAAAAATATTATGCATACTTTAAAAGTATATAATTCTATTATGCTGATGACCTAGTGAATAGGGATGGCAACGGGGCGGGGAGTATACTCCCCGTCCCTGTCCCCGAAACTCCGACCCCGTTCCCGTCCCCGTCCCCATCCCCGGCGGGAAATTGGAAATAGTCCCCATCACCGCGGAGAATTTGGCGGGACCGGGAATCCCCGTCACCAGTCAATTCTTAGTCAAAAAAATTAAATTAGTATAATTTTTAATTTTAAAAACTAAAAACCTATATTATAATTTTAAAAAATTAATATATATATATATATATATATATATATATATATATATATATATATATATATATATATGTACACACATTAAGTGTGTGGTCCAAGAATCTTTTGGTCTAGTTGCACCAAGTTGCTCTCTTATATGGGAGGTTGTGGGTTCGAGCCTCAGTAAAAGTGGTATTGACTCTTTGTGCTTCAGTATGTTGAGAAAGTAGTTATGAGATACTCTATAGTAACAGAGTCGTAGTCTTCAAAATACATAAATGGACATATATGATTGGTTGTTTAATTGGAAGGAATTAAAATTACTTTCCTACCTCATTCTTTAAATATAAAATTACATTATTTATTTAAACGGAATTGCAATTCTCTCATTTCATGGAATTGAAAATCCTACCCCCCCCCCCCCCCTCCCCCCGAGAATTGCAATTCCAAGATAAGAAAAAAGTATTGTATGGACAATTCTACCCCTCCCCTTTATGAAAAAGGGAGTTGTTGTACGTTGTTGTTATGGCATTTTGCATTTTTGGGTCTAGCCTCCTTCCTTCGATCGAAATACGAATGAGATCAAAAAAGTCATGTCCATATTCAACAAGCAACGATTTCAAGCTAGCCGAGTAGGCGGGTTAGTGAGGGCGGAAAAAAATTAAAACTGAAAATATTTTCTAGAGATATATATTTCTTAGAAGAACATATAAGATATCTTGACATAGCGGCGTTTTGATACCACCGGAAACTATATATATATATATATATATATATATATATATATATATATATATATATATATATATATATATATGACAAGGAATCCAAAAAATAAAAAGTGAAAAATTGGATCTATGTCCAACGGATTACACCGAGCAAGAAAAAGCTTTTTTTTTTTTTGTCTTAGTTTTTATATCACTTCCCCACTTTCAATTCTTATATTTATCAAACATTTCTATTATTGTCTACCAAACAATAGAATTTGAATTCTCCTTAACCCCCATTTTATTCTTTTACAATTTCTTTCCTCATAATTCTCTCTTTTCAACTAAACTGATTGTGATGGAATATTAAATATGTTTGATGCCAAGGTTGTTTGTGTGCATACTCTTATCAAGAGGAATGAAGCAAATGCACTATCAATTAATGGTCCAAAATATTTGGTGTCAGCTCCTTACTCAATTTAATTACCACTACTAGGAAATTGCATTTACTTTTTTTTTTTTTTTTTTTTTTTTTTTTTTTGGAAACAACTAGGAAATTGCATAATACGATTCACCGTACTTATCCACTGAACGTGTATGGAAATTTCATCTGCTTTTGAATCACAGTCAAAGTTTATCTAAATTTCTGTCAAAATTTAATGTGATCGGTAAGGTTATTTTCACCATTCTCTTTCTCTCAAATACTGTTTACTGAACCAATGAGTTATATCCGTACGAGCATGTCATTTTCATCTGATGAGATTTCTCAAATTATACTCCCTTATTTGTACTTACTAAGATGGCAAATTAAGATTTGTTATTTTCATCATGTGGGTCCACAGAAAAATGTCTACATCAAAAATATATGAGAGAGAGTACAAATTGAGAATATAAAATCACTACTGAAAATTATGAAATTTTCGACCACCTGAAAGTGATATTAAATCAAGTTAATACCAAAAAGTGGTCGGAAATAGCAACAAAGGTTCTTTCGAATACTAAAAATAGTCCGAACAAGACTTTCGACTTGATTTAAGATCAGGTGGTCGGAAATTTCATAATTTCCCGTAGTGAATGGGAATACACCAAATATTTTTCATCTATTTATGTGTCAACTTTTTTACAAGCTTTCAAACACGGTCAATGTGTCAACTTTTTATTGACAATTTTAACAATTTGTTTTCTTTTAATAATATATTTAAACGTTATTATTTTTTTTTTTGAAAGTTACTGGCTCTATTACATTGTAGTATCTGTTCATATACTTTCTCAACCTACTGAAACACAAAGAACCAATAACGCTTCCACTGAGGCTTGAACTCATAATCTTCCAATTGGAAGTCCAACCCGGATACCATTAGACCACGTAGTCCTGGTTAAACGTTATTATTTTATTATATTATACTCCGTATTTTGAACAATTGAAATTTTAAAAATATAGAAAAAATAATCTTGAATTACAAATATACTGATGTAGTAGTAAGATTCCTTTTCTCCACATCTCTATCATTTCAATTGTCAAAAATATAATATTATATTTAAATTTATTATTAAAAATAGAAAAGTACAAAATGTTGAAAAAGCCATTGAAAAGTTGACACATAGTGATGTATGAAAGCTTGTAGAAGGCCTTATACATAACCGTAAAAACAATCACGGATTGAATTGCTCCCTCCGCCTTATTTTATATGTCAATTTTTATTAATGAGACTGACTAAAATTATTTTTAATTTAAATTTTCTTAATGTTAAATTTAGTATTAATATATAAAATTTATATATTTAGAAATCATATTAAAAGTATTATAGAGTACTAAACACACACAAAAAAAAAATCAAATAAAAAAATACTATTAAAAAAAAGTAAAGAAGATAAAGTTTATTTGACCAATAAATAATAAATAGAACATGTAAAATCGACATAGGAAATATAAAATAAAATTAACCGGTATCTCTTTCATGGATGCAAAATCACTTAAATTTTGACAAAAATTTAGACGAACTTTGATTATGATACAAAAGTGGACCACCTTATTGAATTGGTGAAAGGAAATTTCAAGTTTTTTTAAATATATATATATATATATATATATATATATATATATATATATATATATATATATATATATATATATATATATATAAAAGAATATTGAAAACATTTTGGGCAGGAAAATTTAACATTTCTGATCACATTTCTTTCGACTCAGGTGGATGGAAATCCAAAATTAAAGTTGACAAAATTTACAACATATAACATTTTAAAAAAAGAATCTACCCGCTGAAACCTAGAAAATTAATGAATAACTATAGAAACTTTTATTATGCTCTATGTAATAGTCTTATAAATTATTGTGAAATTGATGAAGTTGAATTATTTTGATTATATTTGTTTAAAATAATAGAGTTTATTCTCGAAATGGTCCCTCCACTATTGCGAAATTACCAATTTGGTCCTCGACAATTTTTCTTACCCAATTTAATCTTCGACTTTGAAAATGTTAACCATTTTGGTCCTCCGTTAAAATTTCATCCATAAGGTGTTAAATTTAAGGACAAAAAGATAATTTCATATATTTTATTTATTAAAGTTTTTCTTCTTCTATCTATCCACTCCTTGTTCTGGAAATCCTTAGCAATGGTCATCGAATGGGGACTGGTTCACAATCCTTGTCGTCGTCATCGCTGGCTCTGGAAATAAAAGAGATTTTTATATATAATGTCGTGATGGAATTGCATGTGTTGGGAAAGAGAGAGGATTTTTTTTTTTGTTTTTTTTTTTTCGAGAACAAACTAAATTATTTGTTCTCAAAAATAGACTTATTTTATCTTTTGTTAATTTTTACTCTTGAAAATCAATGAATTTTACTCTTATAAAACAAAATAGTTGAAGGTATACCCTAACTTAAGTATCACTATATAATATTTTATAAAATGGATGTATTTTTTAAATCGCCTCTTCTCTTTTTCAGTAACTTAATAAAATCAAAATTAAAATATCGTTACCTTCTTGCTAATTACCGTGTAGTGTGATGACATGATTGACATTCTGGTATTTTTTAGACTGAAAATATTTGAAAAAAATATAAAACAGGTAAAGAATTGTGAATATTTTTTTTTTTAAATCATTACCTTTTTTATTAAAAAGGCACCGAAATTTATCTCTCTTTAACCCATGAAAGCAAACAATGAATAGGAGTCTTTATCTTAATTCTTAATCCATCTTAACATTTTTTTTTTTTTTTTTTTTTGAAAATCTTAATCCATCTTAACATATTTTATTTTATTTAGAATTGTTATTCTTTGAAATTCCACACCACAGAAACTGTGGATAAGTTTGGAGGAATGGTCCCCAAATATTGGATTATGTTGAATGATACCTAACCCCTCTCTCTCATTCACGTGCCAAACTTGAAAATTACATCTGCGGCCAAAGCTCCTCAGAGACCAACCACTGCAGGTACCTTCTCACAATTTTCTAAAAAGTTTCTTACCAAAAACACCCTCCCCACATGTTATGTGAGATACAATTTGTATGAAATAGGGGTATTCTTACCTATTATATTTCGACACATCATCAAAACTTAGAAACGGAGAATTAAATGGAAAGAGAAAAAAGTGGTTGGGAAGACATAAAGAAGGAGAACAATTAACTGTCTGCACGGACTATGTGGTCCAATGGTATCCGGGTTGGACTTCCATTTGGAAGATTATAAGTTCGAGCCTCAGTGGAGGCGTTATTGGTTCTTTGTGTTTCAGTAGCTGAATCATTGAGTCACAGTGATTTACGTCATTCCAAATGCTCTATCGGATTGGGTGTGGGGGTCTTGGGATTGAAGATTCAACCTTTTGGGAGGAGAAGAACAATTAATTTTGGAAAAATGGCACTTTTTCCCCCTGAGTTATATACTTATAGCACTTTTTCCCCCTGAATTATTCATGTAAGCACATTAGCCCCCTCAATTATTTTAAAAGTGGCAGTTTTCCCCCCTAATATATTTTATTGACATTTCTACCCTTAAAGTAAACATTTTATTTATTTCCTTTTCAATAAATTATTGCGTATACATAGGGATGACCACGGTTCGATTCGAATTGAACCAGACACTATAGCAATCGAAGTAAAAGTTTCCGGTTATGATTCAGATCCAGAACCCAATATTTTAATTTCAATTCATTAAAATCATGAATCGAAAAAACTGAATCCTGAACCGTGAACCGGCGGTTCTAGATCCGTTTAGCGATTTTGAACCGTCTTTATTTTTAAAATTTTAATTTTTTATTTTAAAATAGTCTAAATTCAACAATAAATGTATTTTATTTTTTTCAGTTTGGACCATGAACCGGCCGTCCCGGTTCACGATTTTAATAAAATCTAAATATCAGGTTTCGATTCTAAATTGTAATTAGAATATTTCGGTTTGATTTCTAGAGTGTCTATTTGGTTTGAACCAACTTGTGGTCATAATTTGTTAGAGAAAAAAATAAATGAAATATTTATTTTAAGGGTAAATATGTCCATTTAACATTTCAGGGGGAAAAACAGCCACTTGAATAATTCAGGGGGGAAAAGTGCCATTTTCCCATTAATTTTAAAAAATTAATGTTGTGTCCAAAATGGTAAATAGAGATACCAGCTTTTATATTGTTAGGATAATTATGTGAAAGTAAATAATTGAAAATTGAGAATTATAGAGAAGTTTATATACTCCATAATATACATAGTAAGAAAGAAACGAATATATTTTAGGGATAAAATTTGGTAATAATAATGAGAACAATAATATTTACAAAGAGTATTATTATTGATCAATCATGTTTATAAAGTACACGAAGGGATGTATTTATAAGGATATAAGAATTAGTCAGCTAGGGCAGGACTGGTAAAGGTAGAGTCCCAATATATAATACACAGAGAAGAAGAAAGAATTCTAAAGTTGATAAAATACGGAGTTCTAATATATCCCCCCAAGCTTAAGGTTCTCTATAGAAAACATTAAGCTTATCCCTTAGAAGATTAAAGCTAGTAATGGTGAGTGGTTTGGTGACGATGTCTACAAGTTGGTCCTTTGTAGAGATGTTGTTTACTTGTAGCTCATTTGAGGCTACTTTGTCACGAACTAAGTGGTAGTCTGTTTTCACATGTTTAGTTCATGCATGAAAACAAGATTTGCATACAAATAAGTAGCATCAATATTGTCACACCAGAGCCGACGTGATTTTGTTACTGTGAGTCCAAGTTTACGAATGAGAGAGACTAATCATGTTACTTCGAAGCCCTGAAGCCAATTGAAAGTAAGCAATCACACATGAGGTGACTGTTTCAAGTCAAATGACCACGGGTGGTTAAAATTTGATAGTTGAGGTTCAAGAGTGGTTTACTTGGTCCACGGCTAGTAACAATTTGAAGTCAAATGACAATGGGTGGTCAATTTGAAAGTTTAAGACTAAACGTGACAAAAGTGAGCAAAACCACTATACTCGGAGAACCTCACATGGTATTAATTATTAACTCCAATGAACATATATCATCAACATAAAGTAATAGATAGACAAAAAAAAAAACTCATTAGAAAATTCTTTAAAATAAATACGCGGTCATATTATTTTTTGAGAATCCTTTCCCCAACATACAAGCATCAAATCACTTATACCATTACCTAGGAGCTTGCTTCAGCCTATAAAGAAACTTCTTCAAATGACAAACACAATGTTCCTTCCCAATAACTTCAAACCTCTCAAGCTTATACATGTATAGTTCTTCATCAAGCTCTGATCTCCATATAGGAATGCAGTCTTTACATCAAGTTACTCCAATAGGTATTTACAACTCTACTTGCTCACAAGTCTCAACGAGGAAAGGTGCGTGATATTTGGTGAATGGCATGTTTAGTGCAAGAAACATAAAAGATATCCAGGAACACGAAGAAAGAATAAGATACACAAGAAAATTATGCAAGAAAGTAAGCAAAGAATTGAGAACAAAACCCTAACCCTAATTCCAAATTGATGCAGATCTCATAATGAAATTCGTTCAAGAATTATCGTCCCAAGATGTTTTCAAATTCCATGAAAAGAGAGTGATCTTTAGAGCATACAACATCATCCTTGAACCTAAATTCCACAAAGGACCAAGAAACAATCCCTTAGCACGCATCAAGCTTCTCAAGAACGCAATTTTCGAACAACTAGAGTGGTTCTCTAGAAACTCCCTTGATTTTAAGATCGATATATAGATCCATAATCCTAAAATGTAAGGGACGTTTGATTTCAATAGGGATACGAAATCAAGAACACTATTTGATAGGTCCACTAATGAAAAGAACAATTTTTGCACAGGTGTAAAGAAAACTTGAGAAAATTTATTTATGTTTTAGTCTCAACTCTCAAAATCAAAATACACACCCCTTTTATAGGTGAAAGTGGCATGTGAAGCAATCTCATCCAGGGTAGGAAAAGAGATAAAGAAACCTTCTAAAATCCTAGTCAAGAATCCTTCTAAAAATCTAACTAGAAAGTAATAATTAATAAAGGTAACAACTTAAAATACGAAACAATTTCTTGGTGTATGTAGGAAAAGATCTTTGCAGCCAAGTCAAGTGGCCGGAGTGGTGGCCAAGAAAGAAAGAAACAAAGTGGCATGATGAGGGCTCTTCCAAATCAACTTGAATGTTAATAAAATCCTCTAAGTGTTTGTCATCATCGATTTGAATCCTTATTGGGCAGACTCTTCCACCAATGTTGCACAACCCAATGTATAGTTGCCTTAAGAGTTTAGTCTTGAGATGGCTTGTGTTAATTTTACTTTCTGATGTGATTGAAATCTGATAAACTATTTTTTCATGTGAGTTCCAATACAAGTATCTATATCAAAATTTTGTACGTGAATTAAAAATTGGGAGTATAAAGTAAGAGTACACAATATTTTCCATAACTAATAAGCTACATTTGGTATCACTATTCAAGATTGAATACCTTACTGGATTCCAAAGTTCTTGGACAGACTATGGAAGCACATTGAAGCTACTGCTAATCATAGAACAAAATGATAGCTAAAATGGATTTAACCAATTCACAAGTACAAAACAGTGTTCTTCATGAGATTTACCACAACCTATAGAAATTCAATTTAGAGTTGGGTTCTGCTCTTGCTCCTCGAAAACAACTTTCCGAAGCCATTCCTTCCTCTGGGATTGCTGACATGATTTGCTGATGAAGTTGATGATGAAGAAGAAGATGCTGGTGATTCCTCGTAGTTTCCATTCATAGAATGGCTAGAATTTTGATCGGGAATTTCCAGAGGATCTGAATCGAGTTTCTGGTTAAACGACTCGTCTAAATGCATCTTCCATGGGTCCACACCAGCAGCGGAGAATCCTTGAAGGTTTACAGTGTCTGTCAAGAAATCTTCCAATGTGGCCAGTGATTGGAGCTGTCTCCCGAGGGATGCAATTGTTTTCTGGCATTCTGCAAGCTTGTCAGCAGCTACAGCTAAATCTTCCTGCAAAATTACATTTTTTTTTCGCAATGTGATACTATGATACGTTATGCAGATTTAGGTATCATAGTTGCTTATTGCTAACCTGCTTTACTTTCAGTTCTTCGGTTGAACTAGCAGGCTGAGGTAGATCAACTTTCTCGGCTTTTCTTCTTATCTCGTTCTCCAAATCCTGGCACTTCTGTGCCATATCTGCAGACAAGGACCGTTCTCTTTCGACTTCGGTCTTTAGAGTGTCAATGTTTGCGGTTATTGCCCGAGCTTCTACTTCCATTCCAAAGAGTTGAAACTCTAGCAATTCTTTCGACTCGTTTGCTTCAGCTAGCTCCTTTTGTAGCTCTTCCAACTTGATTTCTGCCTCCTTAAGCTGAATCTGAGATGCCTTAAGGGCATCTTCGGTATCATTCAATGCACTTCCCAGTTTAGTTTTCTCCGCTTCGATTGTCTCTAACTTCTGCTCTAGTTCTGATACTCGTTGAGCCATAGTCTGAAGCTCCGTCATCAAAGGATTCTCTACGCTGGAAGACGTGAAGATAGTAGCTTCAGGTGCCACGTTCTTGCTCTCAGATAGTGATGCGAGTCTTTCCATTTCCAGAAAATCATCCATCATTTCAATTTCTACGGGGACGGCTGCTAGATTTTTAGACGAGGACTTTCCATTCTTGAATTGATCGAGCTCAGCAATCAGTGCCGAAGCCCAGCAGTCTGTGTCGATTATATTTAACTGCTCTCCACTCTCGGACTGGCTATCTGAAGAAGCAGCGAAAGATTTTTTATCGTTGGCTACGGACAATTTGCGAGTCTGAGCTTGTAGTCTCCGATACTCCGCCTCGAGCCTAGTGAACTTTTTTATGCTTTCGAGTTGCTGTTTGCTAGCAGTTTCCGCGGTTTGGGTGCTCAGGTCCCTCTCGATGGTTCTAATTTCTAACTCCTTGGTTCGAGAAAGGAGTTCGTGTTTGAGAGCTGCGTTCTCTTTCTCGAGGCGTTCGAGCTTTTGGAGAACATCGTGATCAGCAGACTTATGACATTCAGCTTCAGAAACCTCGGCTTTTAACTGCAGCTCAGCTAGCTGTTTCTCGAGTGATTCCCATTCCATGGTCTTCTCGACTATAGCTTCTTGAATTCTTTGCTCCTGCTCGTCTTTTGCGTTTCTCAACTGCCTCACACATTCCTTGAGAGCTCCATCGAGATGGCTAACACGAACTTCTAGTGTCACGTTCTGCTGTACTGCTGCCTCGAGTTGCTGCTTTAGAGCAGCTACCTCTTTCTCGGCCTTTTCCCAACCTATCACGTGATCGAGAGAGAGAATTACAAAACGAAACATGTTGCCCGAGATACTTGAATTATTTCCACTAAATATACCAATAAAGAGGGGATAATCATGAGGAAGAATTGATAACAAACAATATATGTCCATCCAAATAAGAACATTATTTGTGGTACCTGCAACAGCTTCTTCAGCAACTTTGGCATGCTGCTTAACTAGGTCTTCTTTGGCACTAACATTAACAAGGGCAGCCGATAACTTTGCTGTCAGACATCTTAGATTTTCCTTAACTTCATCGTCTGTGGAAGCAGGTTTCGAGGTAACCTCGGGTGACTGCTTGTCGTGGTCCGGTGATTCTTTCGATGTTTCCTGATGCATTACGAAGAACAAAGTACAGGTTATGCTTCAACCATTAGTAGTCCACCAGATAATCACTCACGGATCACAAACTCGAGAGATTAGCCCGAGAATTTGAAAGAAAATTTCAAATAAACTTTGCAGATTGGTACTAGAATAATTGAAGGGTGCATTCCATCTTGTTGAGCATATAACTATTAATGTGCAATCCAACTATAAGCTTAGGTTTTTAGTTGAGATGGAGCACATGCTCCAATTTGGTATCAGAGCCAGACCAATGGTCATGGATAGTTCATCTGCAATTCTCTTCATCATAACAAGATGATACAAGTATGTGAATCGCGATACATACATTCGAACCCATTAATGATTAATAATGTGGCAACAAAACTTCTGAATTTGCACAAAAGTAGGCAAAAGGCTTAAGATGAATTTGTTTCACTTACCAGTTCATCTGAACTTTCAGTTTCCCCAGAGCTCTTATCAGAAGGTTTCCTTTTCCACAGCCATTTTCTCTTCTCCATCTCAATAGCCCAATGAATCTCCTTCAAGCTTATGCAACTATGCCCTGCCCACAAATCCATACATTCATTCAGAAAGATTGCCTCATGCAATTACAAACTAGGAAAGCAAAAGCATAAAACTTGAACTAATTGTATCTCTGAGTGAAAAACTCATTAGCATTTTAAAGCATTGCAGACTTTGCTTATTATCCCTTCAGCTTTGCTTCAAATCCACTCTGCTAACAACCCAATCCCCAACCCCAACCATAAACATTTCTTGAATTCAAAAATGGAAAATGTCACTATAAATGGGGGAAAAAGACAAGACCCATTGCTTATAAAATCACAAAACAAGAACTACCCACCGAAGTGGAACCCAGTCAGAATTAGCAAATCAGGAAGATTAATTTAACAATGGTCGCTGGCTAGCATGACCGGAGCTGAAGATTCAAGAAAACAGATCCAAATTGGAAAATAAAAAAAATGAAATTAAAAATCATACCTTTGACTGAAGACCCAGAAGACCAAATGCCAAACCTCAACTACTAAAATACTACTAGCACAATATTAAATGTGAAGAAACGAAAGATTGGCATTTGGGTTTCTTCCAGATTGAAACTGGAGCTCTGAGAAACCCAGAAAAAAAACAACCCAAATAAATAAATCTGTGAAATTCTCTAGTACTCACACTACAATTCGGAAGGATAAAGATGATTTTTCTCCCTTTAAAAAAAAATAAAATATTTTTTGCTTCTTATTTATGGTTCATGCCCGCTCCAGTATAAACAAGGAAAAATGGACCCAGGACTCCAGGAGCGCATGTGAGTGGAAACTTAGAAAGTGAGAAATGGCGACAACTTTTCAGCTTTTCCCATTATCGTTTTCTGCGATTATTTTCAAATTAATCTGCTCTCTTTATTCCCGCCCATTAAATGTACTGGTGTTTTGGATAATACATAACAAATTAAATGTTCAGTACTGCATGCGACAATATACTCCGTATACAACAATACAAAACAGGTATGGAAGTCGCTAACATGTCCTAATCGCAAAATTAGATATGTTTGCCAAGGTTAGAGGTGAGAACAAGTTCTCAGGTTAAAAGTGAAGATTAATCTGATTTATAAATGATTGTGGTTGAAAAATAAGAGAAAAATAGAATGATAACTTTTATAAACAGTACATTGAACTTTTGTAATAATTATAAAAATTGAACTTATATTTTTTATTTACTAAAACTCCCAATCATTTATGACCTTAATAATGGTTATGATTCTCCCTTATTGTTTTCATTTAAACAAATGACCTTAATAATGGTTATGATTCTCCCTTATTGTTTTCATTTAAACCTATACATATACATTCTTCCAAAAGGCTGAACCATAACCCTAAGGGCCCCCACACCACGACAGAGTATTTGGGAAGATGTAAATCAACTGAACATGAACCACAGAGGCTAACCATCAACTGAACATGAACCACAGAGGCTAACCGTCAACTGAACATGAACCACAGAGGCTAACCATAGAGGCTAGACCGTGCTCATTGTGCACAAGAAACCCCCATCACTTTGAGAGGTTGCTCCCACACTGCCGCTGGTGAGACTCGATCCCTGGTCATTCTTCCAAAATATTACATATATAAATGATTGGTTATTCCAAGTAAGGTAAGTATCAATTACATAATGTAAAGAATTGTAACATACAATTACAATGGTTTGATTGGATATACATTAATACCCTCGCATATGTATATATGTATATGTATAGGTAATAGGATTACCTTCAGGAAGGTAATGTGAGATTTGGGGAATGTAAGATTACTTGATGTGTTTGGTTTGCATTGTGTAATATAATATTACCTTGTTTGGTTAAGAGTTATATTTTAGGTTATATGGATCAATTTACTGTAATGTCCTCAATATATATATATATATATATATATATATATATATATATATATATATATATATATATATATATATATATATATATATATATAATTTATTTATTTATTTATATTTTATATTTATTTATATGTGTGTGTATTTATTTATTTATATGAATGTATATCAATACTTAAATATTAAAAAAAATCCTAAATATATAAATATACACACATGTATATTTGATTATATAAACATATTATTATTATTATTATTATTATTATTATTATTATTATTATTATTATTATTATTATTATTATTATTATTATTATTATTATTATTATTATTATTATTATTATATAAGCATTAGTTAACAAGGGCAAAGTTGGAATAATTCAAAGTAATCTAAGATTACCTTAAGGGGGCGTTTGGTTCAGGTCATCTTATATTACCTAGGTAATCTGAGTCTGGTAATGTTATATTACCTTGTTTGGTTCAAGTTATAAGATTACCTGGTAATGTTATATTACCTGAAAGCTGACGTGGCGGTAATGTTTCAAGGTAATGTGATTACCCCCATTTTTTTAGGTAATCTTAGATTACCTTGAATTATTCCAACTTTGCCCTTGTTAACTAATTAATCCTTATATAATAATAATAATAATAATAATAATAATAATAATAATAATAATAATAATAATAATAATAATAATAATAATAATAATAATAATAAAATTAATATATTTTTATGTAATCAAATATACATGTGTATATTTATATATTTAATTTTTTTTTTAATATTTAAGCATTGATACTACAATGTAATAGAGCCATTAACTTTCAAAAAAAGCATTGATATACATTCATACATATAAATAAATACACACACATTATATATATATATATATATATATATATATATATATATATATATATATATATATATATATATATATATATATATATATATATATATATATATAATTGAGGACATTATTGTAAATTGATCCATATAACCTAAAATATAACCTTGAACCAAACAAGGTAATATTATATTACACCATCCAAACCAAACATACAAGGTAATCTTACATTCCCAACATCTCACATTACCTTCCTGGAGGTAATCCTATTACCTGGGGTAATCCAAGATTCCGTGAACCAAACGGCCCCTAAAAAAATGGGGGTAATCACATTACCTTGAAACATTACCGCCACATCAACTTTCAGGTAATATAACATTACCAGGTAATCTCATAACTTGAACCAAACAAGGTAATATAACATTACTAGACTCATATTACCTAGGTAATCTAAGATGACCTGAACCAAACGCCCCCTTAGAGTTATTCTATCAATCAAAGACATACATTCATATGGTATCAGATTGTTAGGCTCCCAATTTCTCTCCTACACCTTTTCGATCCTCATCCAATGGCTGCCAATTCATCCGAAAGAACGATGAGCACTCCGGCTGCACCGGCGCTGACGATCACCGCCCCAAACCACCTTACCTCGGCTCACCATTTCGTGTCAAACAAACTGACGACACGAAACTATCTCTTCTGGCGTACACAGCTCATCCCCTTCCTCCGGGGCCAGGGCCTTCTCGGCTTTGTTGATAGAACCACGCCGTGCCCACCGACGTTGGTTGTCTCCATTCCAACCGTCGACACCTCCGATGAAGCCACGTCCACCGCTGCCAATCTAGCCTTCTCCGTATGGGTTCAACAAGACCAGTCCATCTTATCCCTCTTGATCTCCTCCCTCTCCGAGGAGGTCATGTATCTTGCGGTCGGCCGCTCCACCGCAAGGGAAGTGTGGTGCTCCATTGAAACTGCCATAGGCTCGTCGACGAGGATCCGGTGCCTCAACCTTCTTGGCCAATTTCAGGCGCTTCGCCAAGGGGAGATGTCGACTGCCGAGTATCTCGGCCGAGCCCAACTTCTCGGTAAAGACCTAGCACAAGCCGACCGGCCGATGCCCCTTGGGCCTTGACGAGCAGAATCTGCACGTTTTCAGGGGGCTCCGGCCGGAATTCCGGGCGATGGCCTCCACTCTGGCTGTATCTGGCACTCCGGTTACTCTTCCTCAATTATCGGACTACCTCCAAGCTCAAACGTTTATCCACTCCGACGATTTTCTGACCGGTACGCGTACTGGAGCTCCTACGGCGATGGTTGACACTCGGGGCAGACAGAATGGTGGAGGTAGACAGAATCGCGGTGGTGGTCGCACCAATCAGTGGCAGAACCGTGGTGATGGTTGTGGCGGACTAGGCCGTAGCCGTGGCGGTTCTCCTCGTTGTCAAATTTGCCGGTTGCACGGACACACGGCTATCTATTGTTTCCGGCAGTACTCCGATCAGCCATCACCACCGTAGGCAAACGTCGTAGTTAATTCCGACGGTAGTCTCCCACCGGAGGTTGCAGCTTGGTATCCTGACACCAGCGCATCCTCCCACGCCACTCCCGATCCGGCCATGATGTCGCATTCCGAGGGTTACACCGGCAGTCTCCCACGCCATTACCACGGTCTCATTTGACGTTTCTGTTGGCTCAGGCTTCCTCCGCAGTTTGGCATTGTCGTTTAGGCCACCCGCATGCTCGTGTCTTACAACGTGCACTCAGGTCTTGTCCAGTTACACTATAGAAATTGAGCTCTTCGAGCCTTTGTTCGGCTTGTCAGTTGGGCAAGTCCAGTCGTTTTCCTTTAGATAGAATAAAATACACTAGTAGTGTTGTTCTTGATCTAGTGTATTCGGATATTTGGGGCCCTGCACCTGTTATTTCTGCAGATGGCTTTCGTTATTTTGTTTTATTCGTGGATGACCACACTCGTTTTTGTTGGTATTATCCACTTCGTGTAAAAACTGGTATATATAAGGTGTTTGATGTTTTTTGGGCCATGGTAGAACGTCTGTTTTCACGTTCTATCAAGATCACACAGTCTGACTTAGGGGGTGAGTATCGCCGTTTGCACAACTTATTCAATACTCTTGGGATTGTACATCAACAGTCCTGTGCGTACACCCACGAACAAAACGTCCGTGTTGAGACCGGTTTGGCTCTTTTAACTCAGTGATCCGTTCTGTTAAAATACTGGGACTCTGCTTTTGAAACAGCTACATATCTCATAAATCGCCTCCCCTCGCCAGCCATACAATTCAACACCCCATATTTTAAGTTGCACAAAAAGACTCTCGACTACACATTTCTTCGCGTCTTTGGGTGTTTATGCTACCCTTACTTACGGCCATACAACCGTCACAAAAATCGAGTATAGGTCTACCTCATGTGTGTTTTTAGGTTATCCTTCTTCTTTTAAAGGGTATCGTTGTTTAAACCTCGCTACTGGAAAGACTTTTATCTGTCGTCATGTACAGTTTGACAAAACTGTTTTTCCTTTTTCTACAGCTTCAAATGAATATGATACAGTGCTGTTAATTGATCATAATGTGCCATGGGGTTCAGGACCAATTATACCGTCCGCTGATGCTGCACCTAATCTTCCAGTTCTACCTCGAGTCTTACCACCAGCTACTGGTGGTAACCGCACCACTCGAAGGCGTGGTGTCACTGACCCACAACAACGGGCTCATGTAATGCGTCTCCGTCATATGACACACGGTACCCATGAACAATTCCATGCCCTTGTAGCAAACATGAGCCCTACTGATCCAAGTTGCTACACCCAGGCCATTGGTCACCCTCAATGGCGTGATGCCATGGACCAAGAATTTAATGCCTTGCTTCACAATCACACATGGGACCTTGTTCCCGCAACTCCGAGCATGAATATTATTGGTTGTAAGTGGGTATATCGCACCAAACGCAAGGCAGATGGGTCTATTGAACGTTATAAGACACAACTTGTAGCCAAAGGGTTTAATCAAATAGCGGGGGAAGACTTCTTTGACACTTTTAGTCCTGTGGTTAAACCCACGACAGTCGGGCTCCTACTGTCTCTCGCAGTCTCTCATAAATGGACCCTAAGGCAACTTGATGTTCATAATGCCTTCTTAAATGGGCATCTG